CACGGCACAAACACGACGCATTACGGTATGCGTAGGGGCACCATGCGGCCGGGCGTGCACACGGCACAAACACGGCGCATTACGGTATGCGGAGGGGCACCATGCGGCCGGGCGTGCGCACGACACAAACACGACACATTACGGTATGCGGGGGGGCACCATGCGGCCGGGCATGCACACGACGGATTACGGTATGCGGAAGGCCACTGAAGACGATGTGGCTACAGACTGCCTTTGAAAATAAATCCAAATGTAAATGAATTTAAAAAGGTTATGTGTGTGTTATATGATTTGTTAAATATTTTTAGATCTTTAGGATCTAAGACTTTGATGCGTGGATGTACAAGTTTCCTTTTAGATTTGAAAACTGCTGAATAGAATGGGTTCAAAAGAATGATTCGTTCATGACTCAGACATCACCATCATTCAAGTAATGTTTTTCGCTAAGAGCATATTACATTGATGTTCACATAGTGCTTTTCTCTCTGACTGAAAATCAAGCAGATACAAATGCAATTCCGCATTGTATTGCACTTGGATACTAATATATCGAGCCCCGTTAGAACAGATTCATGGTGTGATATCGTGTGTTGCAGCAGGACTGACTGTATGTACAAAAGTTTTTTGAAAGAGAGGTGAAATTAGTACTTAAAAATTTTTGTGACTCTAGCAAGTTTCCCTGATTGCATATGTTCAGAATGACTCATCTGAAAGTGTCCGGAACATTGTTCTTTAACTTGTAGCCTGTTTTGTGTAGTTTATAACCTCACCCTGTTCCCTTCGGCTCGGCTTCCACACCGTGCCCCTGTTTCCCTTAACGCCTCGCTCCCCAGGATCCCCCGACTGCAACCTCCGCTAGAGGAGCGACTGTACTCTGCACAGCCAGGCGTGACTGCCGTCTACAACGTGAACGTGAGCAGTCATCTCTGAGTGGTGGCTAGTGCATCGAACAAGGGCGCAGACTCGTAAACCAAGCACCGCTGCTTCAAGTGCCCGGGAAGTGCCAGTGTAGTAATCTGAAGCACAGTACTTAACTTTAATTACTCGAGTAAAATATCCAGCTAAGTGGCTTTGGAATGCTTCAGAACTAAGACTCTGTGGTGTTCTCTGCCCATCTTCATCAGCATGTTAAAAAAATAACAAGCTTCTGGGGCTGATGCTGTTTTTTAAATATAGTTCTATAAAGTTTATTTTTTCCCTTTTTGTATGTATAATCATGCATCAAGGATGCAATAATGATTTTAGGGACCATTAAGGAATCCCGGGGTCTGATTGAGAAAAACAGCATGTGATTGGAGAGGATAATATCGTATAGATGATCAAAGATGGTGGTTGGGCCTGTGGGACGTAGCAGGAACCATGGTGAGGCTGTCAGATCTCGGTGATCGGCCGGTGAATAAAGATCCTCATTGTTTCATTCATCTCTCTTGCTGAGCTGCATTGTCTCTGTGCCACTCGGAGAGCAGGAAGCAGCTGTCTCCGTATCGCCCCCCCCGCCCCCCCCCGTACTCGTTAGGCGTGTGCGCCAGCTAAGCGTGGCTCTAAAAGGATGTCGGACAATATCACCCCATCTCACCCTTGGTCTCTGGATCAGGTGTCGCGACCCGCCGGCCCCCCGTACACCGCACACGACCTCACCAAAGGGCAGCCTAACCTGGCAGCCACACCCCCTGGCCACGCGGCGTCCCCGGGACTCTCTCAGGTACCTGTATGTATGGCTGTCTGTGTCCCCGCCCCCCTCTCTGTGCCTGCACCCGTATCCCCATGTCCGCCTTGGGATGTCGAGGCGCTGGCGGCCCTTGGCTGGAGCGGCGTCCCTGTCGGCTCTGCAGGCTGTGTGCCGGCCGGCCTGCGCGCTCTCCTTCCTTCCAGCTCTGTTCTCTGCCGCTGCTTTTCTGCACCTCGCCGTCGTCGTTCAGCGCCCCCCGCTCGCTGGATTCCTGTGTGGGTAGCGGTGCCATCTCCGTCTGGCGTCTGTCTGGATGTGCCCCTCTGTGTCTGTTTGCTGTGGAACCTGTCGCTGTTCTGCTCCCTCCTGCCGCGGCCCAGCCCCCAACCCGTGCCCAGAAAGGGGAGCCGCCGGAGTGACTCGGCTATTCCGGTGGCGTGTTTCCCCAGTATAATGAGAGACCGCACTTCCACAACCTGCCTGGGGAGGGACCTACTCCCACCTCTCAGCCACAGGGAGCTATTAATAGTGAACCCCCCCACATGCTGGCCACGCCCCCACACGCTGGACCCGCCCCCACATGCTGGCCACGCCCCCACACCTTATCTTGCATCTTGGACTTTCCTAAGCTCTCACCGAAAGTACGCTCTTGGTTTTGCTGTGTTACTGTGTGGGCACGTTCTAACCCTGTCCCTCCCCCACCCCGTAGCCTCCCTACTCCTCTGGACAGAATGCTGGCCCTGCTTCGCTGGTATATTCTCCCCCAACGCAGCCGCCCAGTCGCTCGGTAAGCGCCCCCCTTTCCCGAATGATTGGATTGTTGCTCCTTTAAGGGGATCTTACTGGGATCTGGTTTTCACAATAGTATATCTCCAAGTATGTTAATCTTCAAATCCTCATTTGATGCATCAATTATTTTAAATCCTTTTTCACACAGTTGTCCATAGGGATTTGCTATGCCCCCCACCCCAAGGTAGCTCGTTAACCCTTTAGTGCTGCAATCATGCCGGACGAGTATGATTGCAGCTGTGGTTCTGATCTGTGTGCCTCTCTCGCTTTCCTCCTTGTCCTCCACATTTAGTTTCAAGCTGGCCCTCGTCCAACACACCACCAGGTAACACAGGTTTTAATACACCGCCTGCCACCCGTCCTTTTCCGTGTGTTTGCCTGAGATGATTACTAAAAAAAATCTGCTGTGCATGGTTAAACTGTGCTCTTTCATCCAGTTTTATTCTTGCAGGTTTGTTATGCCTGAGAATGTGAGCGTGTTAGCTTAGCGGCGCTAGTTTCAGACATGGTTTTTATAAAGATCGCTGGTGCTGATCATCTTATGCCGGACACACTGCCGCAGCGAGGTGTCTGCAGGCCCTCTTGGTACCTGAGACTGCCTCTGCATCCTTATTTTTTTGGAGGAGCATTTTGTTCCTCCTGTCTCCTGTGTTTTTCCCTGACGACCTTACGACGCCATGTCCTCCAGGCTATCAGTCATCTGAGCTTAATGTGACGAGGAGAAGAGGTTTTCAACGCGAGGCTGCCCGCTTCTCTCCCGCAAAATCACAGGGGGACTGGTGGCACAGCCACCAGCTGCCAGTCATGCCCCGTTCTGCTGAAGTTGGGCGGCGCCCGCTCTTGCCAGTGAGGGGTGGGAAGGGGCTCATGATCTCTGCGGTGGGGCTGAGAGACGATGGAGTTTACGGCGGCGGATGGTTAGAGGGCTGATGATGCTGATGAAGATGATGATCTGCAGCGAAGAGGTACGGCTCGAGTGAGGAAGAGGAACGGCCCCCATGTGTGGTGTCGAAGAGGAGTGGAGGCCCCCCCCCTGCCATGGTGGCAAGAAGGAGACCTGTTTTACAGTGCTGAGAGAGAGCAATGATGAAGAAGAGGGTAGAGGAGAACCCAAACCCTCTAAGCAGGATGGCATTTGGTTAGGATTGGGCCGTGCGTGTGCCGTGCGTGTGCCGTGCGTGTGCCGTGCGTGTTCCATGCGTGTGCCGTGCGTGTTCCATGCGTGTGCCGTGCGTGTTCCATGCGTGTGCCGTCTGTACATTCTCCATGCTCATCACTGTGTTTCCCAATGGCTTCTTTCTCTTTCCTGCTTCAATATTCAAGGGAGGATTCAGACCCATACAGGTAATTGGAAGTTTCTGGAAATGCATGGTTTAAGGGCCGCGACCCCCCCCAGACTAATTTGGGAAGCAGCCTCTGATCCTGGGTACGCCGCCATGTGGAAAGTTTATCCTGTCTTTGGTTATATATAGACTTTCCATGGCTTTGTCGGCGTATTAGACAGTGTTATGCTGCTCGCTGCAGTGGCCTCTTCCTCCACAGTGCACGTGTGAGGCTTCTTGTGATATTAAGCTGAATGAGGGTTACCATTAAGCAAGGTGGCCTTTCCTTTTGATTTTTTTTTTTTTGCTTTTTAACGTTGATATTCTACTTTAAAAAAAAAACACAGATTTGTCCAGACCTTTGTGAGGTGAAGTCAGTCTGGTCAGAAAGAGCTTTGAAGGCCTTGTTTTTATTTAAAATTTTTTGGACTCCGTGTGACTTTCTTGTGTCCATGAACAATGAGGCCTTTGAAGTTGTCCTAGTCCGAGGGGCTTCCTCCTGCTGCCTGACGGGCCGCACATGGAAAACACTGCAGCGTTACCGCACGCGCCTTCCTGTCACCCCTCAGCTACTGGGGGTTGGGGGAATGGGGCTCATTTACGGCTCCATTCTGTGATTTTTGTTGCATGTTAAATAATATGCATGTAGCATGCCGAATCAGAATTTTATTAATCATGGGGTCAAAAGGGTAAGCACTTTTGGGAGACAAGAAAGTAGCAGGTCTCAAGTTTGGGGTCACCCACTTTCAGGTTTAACGCCGTAATGGTCTCATTCGTGACTTCTGGTCAAACATTTTCTAGTTATGTTTATGTTGGAAAAAGATCCATTTAGCATGAAATAGTTTGAATTTGAATGGCCATAATCAGGGAGCCCCTGGTTCGTAGCCTTTGACACTGACGGTCGCCAGCCCTCGGCCCTAGCACACCGGGCTAATTACTTGTACGGCACTGGTCCGATACCCTGCTCTGCTCTGACCTTCAGCAGTGCTTGGCCTAACTGCTGCTTCACCGCAGAGGGCTTTACCCCATAATGCCCCCCCTCCCCACTGGTAAGGATGAGGAGCATGCGGGACATGAGGAAGGTCGTATCCCTTCACCCTTCTTCCGAGCTCGCTGTCCGCCTATTTGCTTAGGAGGCGCGGGTGTCGATAAACATGGGAATTGCAGTGCGGAGCTCACGATGAGTCCCAGAACACGAGAGCTTCTGCTGAGCCTTTGCAGAGTCTCTGGTCTGTACCCCAGATGGACTGAGTGGGCTTTTGCTTGGTTGCGTTTGGCTCTGAGGCAGGAGGGGTGCTGTGTTTACAGGTGAGCTCTGCATCCGTGCCTCTCTGAACCCCCGCGGCCTTCTCCCCTTGTGTAGTTCTTTCAGAGGCCACAGATGCAGCAAGCCAGGCCCACCCTCTCCAGCAACAACCCCGCCCTCCGCCCATCGCAGCCTCCTGGGCCGGCTGTCTATACCGGCAACCAGCCCATCATGATGACCATGACGCCTATGCCCTTTGCGTCGCCGCAGGCCCCACAGTACTACATCTCCCAGGTGAGGGAGGGGCGGGGCCCACCTGCCTGCTGGGGGTCTTGGATACACGGGGAACATCTGTTTTAATGCTGCTGCTCTTTACTCTTCCCTTCCACAGTATCGCCACCCCACCCCCTATGTAGGACCCCCCCAGCAGTACTCTGTGCAGCCCCAGTCGCCAAGCACGTTCTACCACAGCCCTGGGCCTGGGGATTTTACGGGGCCATACTGTGAGTGGCCCCCCTACTCCAGGGCACCTGCGCTTTTTTAGATGCATGTTTCTGTTTCTGTATCTGTAATCCCTCTACTTTTATGGGGAGTTATTAATGTTGACATTCCCCCATTTTGGAAAAGCAGGCATTTTGAATAATCACTTTAAAGACTCTATGGTCATTGCTGGATTAATTCTTTAATTGAATCGACTTACTGCTTGTTAATTATATACAGCGCAGCGTTTGTATGGAGACGTGAAACAAATCAGCTTTGTTTCTGTGATTCAGCTCTTTTCTCTGGTTATAACTCACTGTCGCCACCCCTCCTGTTCAGCGGGGCCTTCTTACTACCCCAGCCAGACTGTCTTCACCCCCTCCCCCCAAATCATAGTGCCTACACCACAGCAACCTCCACCCACCAAGAGAGAGAAGAAGCCGGTGAGTCTGGGTCCATGGTGAGGCGTACACTGTGCTGTGAGGTTCACATCTACTCCTCATTGGTTGCTCTTCATTGGTTTCTGTTAAGCCAGCTGATGATTGGCCATAGTGTAGCCCCGCCCACTCCGGGTGACAAAACCCTCCCCTATCACTACTTTTGATGCCTTGGTTTGTGCTGCTGGATGTGAATCTATCGCCCCAGCAAACCTGAGAAATGTCGCTTCCCTGCAGCAGAATTAGTTTCAGATTCAGATAAAATTTCAGTGTGTTTATTATATCTTGAATGTCATCAGGTTTCAAGGAATTTTTCCTTTGAAAATATGTTCCAGGAGGTTTTGTCTAGATAGTTTTGTCTCATTAAGATGTCAAATAGTAATAATAGATGGATTTTCATATAAGAAGATACTTAAAAAAAATACTTCAGCTGAGACTGAAATTGTTTACTTAAGCCTGCCTGCATATAGTTTGCCACCTTGACCCTTGATGGATGGTGGTGTGTTGTCTGCTTGCGTCACCCACCCCCAACCCCCCCCCCCCCCCCTGAATCCTCCCTTGAATTTTGAAGCAGGAAAGAGAAAGAAGCCCCTTCTGTGTTTTATTTTTTTATTTTCAACCTAGATACGTATCCGTGACCCCAACCGGGGCGGTAAGGACATCACAGAGGAGATCATGTCGGGAGGGTCCGGGAGCCGAACCTCGACGCCTCCTGCTGGGAGGCCCTCCTCCACCCCGACGCCGCCGCAGGTGAGGAGGCTGACGGCACAGGCAGCAGGGGGTGCAGTGCGCAGTGGGGCAGACCTGCAGTAGGTCGATTGCCAGTTCAAGGACAAGGAGAGGCTGCAGTGTAAGCCTTTATCGCAGTGCTGGTGGCAGTGGTGTGCTGAGCCACGGCAGCCTCCAAAAACCTTCATGCTTTGCTATTGACTCTCTTAAGTAGGTTCCCCCAACAAACTAAGGTCACTGCTCTCTCCTCAGGCCGCAGTGAGGTCTACTCTTGGTTTACGTAAACATGTTTATCCCAGTGAAAGAGGGTGATTTCCCATCACAGAAGAGCAGGAGGTCACAGGCATTGCGTAACCGCTGTGCTGGCCAGGACTGAGCGTGACGCCTGCAGCCGTGATCCTGTTACACCTCGCCCTGGTTTCCGCTTGCCTGGCCGGGCGCTTGGCTTCCTCCAAGCACTACTGTACCTGTGCCATTTATGCAGAGCTCCATGCTGCCGTGGGAGGGTGTCCCGGCTGAGCTGTCTCCACCATCCTCAGTTTCCACTGTTTGATCGTCCATCCAAATGTATTTAGAGAACCTGCTAGTGATTCCCGTTTGACACGGCAGCAACTCCGTGCTCGTGATCAGGTGGCCAGCTGTTCGAATCCCGTGGTTGGCAGAGTAGTGTCGCTGTTGGGACCCTTAGCAAGGCCCTTAACCTTAGTTACTCCATGGACTGCCATTCTCAGTTGTACATTGAATGAAAGTATTTGCTAAGTAAATACATGTGTGTGCTGTCTCTGCTCATAGAGATCACACAGCACTCACTTTAGCGGTGGATGTAACGTTACATGTAATAAGGGGCCCAGCAAAGCATATTTTAATTGTTTAGTATTGGAGACATTAACATTTTGTTTTGTTTTATGTTAAACAGTGAGAACCTGAGGAAATTATCATGTCGTATAGTTGTGATGTAAATGGACATTATCGTGCCTTGCTTGAGGGAGGCTTTAATATCTGCAGATACATTTGGAAGTTAGCACTTAACCTAAATTATGCTAAACGCCTACAGTGTAGAAATATGCTAAAAGTAGGAAATGGAAACAACTGACAGATGCCAGTGATGTTCGCAGCGCAGTGTTTTGAAGGCAGGGGAGCTTGTTTCAGCAGCGCTAATTTGATAGGGCACCTGAAAGGACGGCAATCCCACTGAGCCGCCAGGCTGAGACATTAAAGGCTGCTTCATACTTCCCCGCATGCGTACACACGGAGGTGTCCATGTGGAGTTTTCATGACGTGTGTTACGTCACCGTGCTCCTCTGCGGGCAGCTCTGCACTGGAAATTGGAGTTCTGGCGGACGGCGCACGTGCAAGCATTTCTCCTCGATATCCGTGTTGGAATGATGTAGCAAGTACTCAACGTGCGCATGCACACAATGTGTTTCCTTTATGGCCATGTGTGCGGCTTGACCAGAGAAGCATTAACGTCACTGTGTCCGTATACGCAGTGCGGATGTGACCGTGTTGAGCATGTGTAGAGAAGTATGAACCAGCCTCAGAACTTGTCAGAAGGGAAAACACTGGATGGTGAGGTCTATGGCTGCGTGATTCCTAAAGAAATATGAATCCCGTTTTTTTTTTTTTTTTTTTTTTTTTTTGCTTTGAGTTGAGATCACGATTCTCTTTTTTTCGTCAAATTTAAAAGTTAATTGCACTTATTAAACTGCAAAAGTAAACACAACAAAACACGATTGTGCCAAGCGTGTGATTGATCCAGGACCGACATATCAACTTCTGACCATAGAAAGGTAGAAACTCAATTGGCCGTTCAGTTAGGGTAACCAAGACGGCTGTACCAAAAGTCCCAGCTGGGGTACTTTTTTGGTACTTTGATACTTTGGGCTGTTTCCTTTGGGGGTTGGGTACTTTGATATTTTGGGGTGTTTACTTTGGGGTTGGGTTCATTGGATACCTTGGGTGGTTACTTTTGGGGGTGAGTGCTTCGATACTTTGTCCATTGGTTATGGACATAGCCTGCTGCTGAAACACAACAGAAACAGCAACGAACTCAGAAAGCAACAACAAACAAGATAAAAAATAAATGATAAAAAGACAAATGAGGTGACAAGCTTTAACTGCGATCTGGTCCAAAGAAGCAGAGATCAGGATAGCATAAAAAGAAATAAAGTGTTTTCTATAATATACTAGGATATTGCAGTGTGATTTTGTGGTAATAAATATTGGGGTATTTATAAAACAAATCAGGAGTTCAACATAAATTTCTCACAAATCCGTTTAGGGGTGATTTAAACAACAAGGATGGAACTGATTATGATTGTCTTGGAGAACACATGCAGCGCTCATGCAAAAGCAGTGGAGGTAACTGATTTTTAAACATTTACTAGATAATCTTGAAAAGGAATAATTAAAATTGCTAAACCTAATACATTTTTTTTTCCCATGACAGAGTTAAAATGTTTTAGCGAAACAAACTCCCTGCACTATAATGTACATAATAAATTGAAGGAAGAAAAAGCCTGGTCTTAATCTAGGTCACTGGTGGAGTAAGAATTGGATGTGCACAACATGCAATGTTGGTTTTAATAAAGCGCATCGTACTGCCATTTTTCAAATTCAGTACAAAATATCCCGTGATGTCATTCGGCACCGGTACCAGTTTTTACTCCAGTGGAAAACCACTTTGAAAGTACCGTACTTTTGATACTTTCTAGAAGTACCAAAAGTACAGTACCAGGTGTGGTGGAAAAGCGCCCTTTAAAGATGTGCAGAATTATGGGACGCTTGAGACACTCTGGGGAAAAGCACGAGCGCTTGTTTTTATACAGCTGATGCAATACAATGCAGAAGAACTGTTGTAATTTAGAAATGAGATCGCATACAGGTGTGAATCGCGAGTGCATTTTTTTTCCCCCTCGAATAATTGTGCACCGCTAGTGTGTCGGGCAAACTTCCTTAAGACAATTACACTGCAAAAAGCAGAAGATACCTGGATTTATTGTTATCAGTGTTGGAAAATGCAGCGATTGCCTGACTTCTGGTCTGTGTTTTTATTTGATTTTTTAAATTTTTGCTTACATCACTTCTGAATGGGAAAAAAACTAAACTGGATTTAACTGAAATTCTTGGAAGAGTTATCACTTTAGTGTTTTTATTTGTAAGACTTATTGAAGAGTAGCTTGTGTACTACTATGTTCAAATAAATAAAGGAAAGGTTATTTTCTTAATGCAGGAATGCTTAAGCATATCTTAAAGAATGGTGTTACTAATGTCCCTTAAAGGCTCTTTTAGTAGTTCTATAAAAATATCGGTTTTGTACTCTGTATTTGCAGATATTCTGTCGTAAATGACTCCTGAATGGAAGTGCAAAATTTTGCCCAGGGCACTGCAATATGTAATATTTGTACAATCCAGTGGGTGGTTCCTTCTCGGTATTGACTCAGAACTGACTTAATATCCAGTGACTGGTGATCAGGCAGCATTGAATTCTCTTACCTAACTAGTAGGGATGGGCATTTTTTTGTGAAAAATTACTAAATGAATTTCACCAATAGTTGGGCCTTTTTAAAATCGTTAGTATATCTGTCTGCCTTTCACACAATCCTAACAAAAGTTCTCTGGCTTATAGGCGACCCCGTTTATTTCCATACGAAATGCGACATCACTCGTTGCTGCAAAAGGATCACTTAAAATATTAACAGTACCCATGAAACTAGGGCGGAATGATATGGAGGGAAAAACACATTGCGATATTTGCTATTTTTGCTATAAATACTGCAATATTTATAAAACAAAGTTGAAATGTTCCACAAAGTTATATTACAGCCAAATGGAACTAATCTACTAGTAGTGTCTGCCTTTACTAGCGGTGTAACAGTATGGTTTTACTATGGTTCGGTATGTGTCATGGTTTTTGGACCATGGTGATGGTATGGATTTGGGATCTTTAAGAAGAAAGTAAAAACACATTACCCTTTAATTAAATGATGCACTCTGTTTTTTCATAAAAGAACTCTCCATTCAGGAAAAAATTACATCATGACTGACTAGGCTTAGTTTGTCTACTGTATAAAGTCAAGAAGAGAAACATTAACACTGAAAGTGCTTCTTAACTTTGATAACCTGTACATACTTTGTTTTTCTGTAACAAGAACATATACAAAGTTAAACATGTCACTGTTAAAAAGCAACCACAGCCACTCGCAGCAGAGTAAGTGTAGATATTATCAATACTACAAATTCCACAACCCAAGAGAACACAGAACCCACATAAAGAGGGCAAAAAAAATGTATTGTGGTGTGTGGTTGAGTCATTCTACTGAATTAGATGGCGGCTGTCTTAAAATGAAGTACTCCCTTAATTAACAGCCACTGTCGGTTCATACTGGTGCAGCGGCACAGACAAGGAAACACGCTAATATGACGCTCATGGATACTGGCACACATTCCGCGGCAAACCTTCGTTATGACATTCACAATTAACAGGCACACTAACACGCACATTAATTTAAACCGTGCGCAGGTAAGCTGCCGCCCAGCCCCACGACGTCACCCTGTCAGCCAGTTGTCGACGGTGTGTGGGATCACTGCTCCTACTACGTCATATTGCTGAAATGTCGTCGGTTACGTTTGAAGTATGCGGCTACCTTTAACCCGAAGACGGATCATTTACGCCATCTGCTGTTGTATAATATTATATTATTTATAATGATATTTAAAGTCTAGCCCTCATAAGATGACCCCAGTTTTTTCTGTGTGTTTTGGGAAATAAGTCTTGTATTCGTGCCAATACATATAGGAAAATGACAGGCATATCGTAATGCCATAGATCACATGTACGTATTGAACAGTCAGGGGCGTATCAAACCATTCCATAATATAATGTGTCCCATTACACCCCTAGTCCTTACTGGAAAAGACAAGCATTTCACATTCTGTTTAACTTGCTAAAAAGTCTCTACTGATACACGTGATTCACTCTTACGTAAAACAGTTCACTCTTAAGTAAACTTCAAAATGAATAACGCAAGCTTACTGGACGACATAATCATAGTTAGTCATATTGCCTCTAAGTAATATTTTAAATAGCTCAATATTCGATTGTATGTTGTGGTCTTTCTGTTAATGTGCCTGAAATGTCTGAAAACTGGTTTAAAAAAATCCCAAAAGATGCCGGTGGGTTAAATTGGGCAATCTGCTGGTAACAGGTGACTTAAACTGTGATTTAAACGGTCAGTGTCCTGCATAGCCCCCACTGGAGCAGTGTCCAATCAACACATGCTTACATCGCCACAGTAACCATTACTAAATCATGCTTGAAAGAATGCAGCAACAAAACAGGCAGGCTGAGTTGAACTGCAAAGCTTCCCCCTGATATCTAAATGATGATTGGACTTTTGGAGCAAACGCTGGTTAGTGGAATGTTCTCGTTTTCTGTTGGAGAATCTGTGCTTAGGGTGTGCTCGGTTTCTGTAATTTTCCACAATATTCAGATGCAAGAGTAGAAAACCATTAGTGTTCTTTAATATTGAAACTTTTGAGTATCAGCATTTGAAATGTGTAAAACTGGTTCATTTTGCTTTTATTGACTCTTTTATTATTTGCTTTTATTTGTCCAAAGCAACACATGAATGAGGGTCAAAGAACAGGGATAACTCGTACCCTTGGAGCAGTTGGGGTTAAGGGGCTTGCTTTTGGCATGGGATTTGAACCCGCAGCCTTCTGGACATGGACACAGACCCCTGACCCATAGAGTTACGCACTGCGATTTTGCTGCTGCCTATGCATTTGCTAAATCCTGCAAACGATGTGTGGGTTCAGGGTTAGAATGGTGTTTGCTCAGTGTGTCTGCATGTCCCATCACCGCGCGGACTTGGTGTTTGATTAGGACCCATCGCTGTAAGATGCAGGCTGTCAGGGATCTGTCTTTGCGCAACTTCTCATCCACACATTTTATTTATGCTGTAAATATCGATGGAGAAATGACCATGATTGCTGTTGTGCTCATAATGACTAGGACGTACCCATTTACGCAGCTAGATGCTGATCGTGTTACGGAATGTGTTCTGGTTGATTTTCTTGTGAGGCCCCTCCTGGCACTTGTCCTGGTAACTATTGCCCAGGGCTACTTGCTACCTGAAAACAGCATGACCTCGTCCCTCACCTTGCTGTCCTTCTCCTTCTGCTTATGAAGCTCCTTCCTCCTCCTGCCCTGAGCAGCTCTTCCTTCCACCCGCACGCTTGTGTGGTCCCTGTTTGGGGTGCCCGAGCAGCCTGCCTGTTCTCACTACCTTCACCCATTGCAGATGAGCGGCCAGACGCTGGACCTGGGGCACGTCCTGTACGGCACGGACCCTGGCCAGCTCGTAACTTCAGTTGTCGACTTGAAGCCAGGTTAGTCTCTGCCGCACGGTTCACATCCCCGCCTGGCTGAGGCTCCCCCTAATGGCTGTACTGAGCGTGGCGGGCGGTGTTAATGTGTCAGGATATTGATCAGAGCAGCAAAGCTCTCCTGTGCTCGGTTATATTTGGTGCTTTTTGGTCTGGACTTGGTGGCCATTCCTCACCCCGCCCCTCTGCTTCGCTCTTAGTCGACGACAAGCCAAAACTGGACTGTGTCGTGCAGAAGCCCCCCTCGCCCGGGATCGCGCTGCCGGAGCTGCCCCCTGAGAAGAGGGACCCTGACTTGCCACCCGCAGCGAGCGTAGAGCCCATCTTCCCCAGCATGGCTACCACTTCTGTCGGTAGCCACAGTCAGCCGGCGTCCGTGGGGGAGCCGGCCGCTCCCGTTCCTGTTCCCGTTCCTGTTCCCGTTCCGTCTCCTCCCGCAGCCCCCGAGCTCTCAGAGCCAGTGGGGCCCCTTCCAGAGCTGGTGCCAGTCGTGCCGGCTGTCAACGGGCTGACCGATCGGGATGTTGATCTCGACCTCCGGAGCTCGGAGCTCGTGGCGCCTCCCGCGCTCCCTCAGGACCAGCCCCCGCCGGAGGCCCCGTCTCCCAGGCCAGACCCCGTCGAGACCCGGGTCGAGGGTGTCGCCATCAGCGCAGGCTCCGCTGCACCCCCAGCCGCAGCTGTCCTGCCGGTCACCCTCACCGCCGCTGTCGCTGCTACCTGTACCGCTGCTGCTCCCCCACCCCCACCCGGCCTGCTGCCCCCCGTCCAAGCCGAGCCTCCCTCCGCTGTCACGGAAACCAGCGAGACAGACGTGGTGCTTAATGACAAAACGGACCCTGTGCAACTACCCAACTCTAGGAAAAGCCCCACTACAGGTGTGTACAGAGCTGTGTTAGATGGCTGTTTTAGGAAGCACTGCCTCCGGAATGTTCCATCGCGAGGCAGCTTATTCCGGCCGTCCCGCTTGCCGTCCCGCTCGCCGTCCCGCTCGCCGTCCCATTACATATGCAGGAATGCAGTCGAAATCGAAGGTTAAATCTAAATGTGCAAAGGCAGCACCAAAACTCTATTTTGTAACATTTGCCTTTTATTTTGTTGTTAAAAATATGGAACTATTACACGTGAAATGACTGGTTTTGTGTCTCCTATGCCCAGCTCTACCTGCTCAGACTGTACCAAAGACCTGGGCCAGACCGAGGGAGGCTCCCCCTGCAGGAGACGCGCCGGACGAGGATCCGGAGCCCAGCGAGGTGCGTGGCCTCCTGCTGCTCCTTTTTTCAGCTCATTCTTTATGAAGGTCTGCTTCTGCCGCTCCTCTCCACCTCCTTCTCGTACTCATGTTTGCCTCCTCCTCAGCCACCTCTGGAAGCACCCAAGCAGGACGTGACCCATGGGCCAGCCCTGGAGGCGGAGCCCGAGCCAGAACCGGATGTGGTGCACGCTGATGCCCAAGACCCGGAGGCGGAGCGCGGGGGCCTTCTGCCAGAGGAGAACGGGGAGCGGGAGCCAGAGTGCGATCCCCTGGGGAATGGGGCGGGGCACGCTTCAGAGACTGAGAGCAGTGACAGCGGGGTCACCTTGGGGCTTCCTGCGGACGTCTTGCAGGAAGGTGAGCGGCTGAACTCTCATCTTACAGGCAGCCTGCTTGAGTCGTGCCCGATGGCGGCCCTTTGCCCGTCCAATTCATTCTCCTGACTTTCTGGGAATGTAATGATGCCACTGTCTCTATGGATCATTTCCACTCCTAGGATGATAAAGGTCACTTTCCATGTGGTTAAAATTCCTGTTCCTCGGGGTGGGGTGTTCGGAGCTTTGCACTTGGGGAAGTAAGATCTGTTGCTCCTGTAACATCGATGTCGTGCCTCTGTCTTCAGAGCCGGTGGAGGTGGACGGGAAGAGGCAGTACGGCAGGGAATTCCTTCTGGGCTTCCAATTCATGCCAGCCTGTGTGAAGAAGCCAGAGGGGCTCCCCCCCATCTCTGATGTGGTGCTGGATAAGGTGGCCGTAGCGTGACGTGGCTTTCTTGTGGCCGTGTGACAGTAGCGGCTGTCTGCAGCCTCCTGACTGACCCCTCACTCACTGTTCCCACAGATAAACCAAAGCAAGCAGTCGTCACGGCCAGCAGATCTGCGTGTCATCTCACGGGGCCCCGACTTCACCCCAGCCTTCGCCGACTTCGGCAGACAGGGTTCCGGCGGAAGGGGAACGCCGGTAAGTCAACAACCGCTCAGACGCACGTGCAGGAGTGCAGATATTTCTGATACATGCACAGAAACTTTCAGGTGTGTTTGCGCATTATCTCACAGTGGGTGTTTATCAGTATGCGCATTTGACATTTTTTGGTCCTGTTTGATGTCATCTTCCCTTGCCGAAGTACTGTTCCAATACCTAATAACAGAAGCACCATGGTATGGTAAAAAAAATCCTTGGATATTGACTTGCCCAACCACAAATATCAAAGATGCATAGGTTTCATCCTCACCAACAAGAACAATCCCATGATTCATTGCGTCCCAAGTTAATTCTTGGGAGGCAAGTTAGCAAAACTGCTCTTGCCAAGACCACAAGTATGTTCTTTGCGTTCTGAGTATTGATAAACGCCCAGTGTCTTTTATGGTTCCATGGCTAGTTTGTCATCATTTTCTTTAAGCACTTTTTAATGGTCCCTGTTGTGTTTCCCAGCTGATGAACGTGAATCTGAGACGGCCTCCGCCACGCAAGATTATCACCAACGTGTCTGTGAACGATGAGGTGCAGCTGAAGAAGGCGGAGAATGCGTGGAAGCCTGGCGTGAAGAGGGAAGGGCCCGCGGATGAACCGGATGCCCTGAGGACGCAGGTTAGCCATCTGCCCCACCTGCGAAGCCCGGCCGTGCTTCAGATGGTCAGCTGAAGCTGATAGCACTGCTGCCTTCTGCCCACTGCTTCAAGACACAACTGGGAAATTAATTAAAAATGTTTCTCATGATGATTTTGCTTATTAGAGTTACAATATTTAGATGGTTGCCTTATAAAATGAAATTCTCTTTCCATAATATCTGTTTAAGGTAATTCTTTGTTTCCTTGCTGTGTGACTAACCAAAGTAAATGTTGTTTGTGGGACTTGGACAAATGTGAGAATTACTGGTCGGACAAATGAAACGTGATCATTGAGGCAGCCATATAAGTGCCTGCTCGCTGAGGCTGGGACATCCCCTTACCCCTTACCCCTTACCCTGTCTCTCCCAGGATCTCTTCCGCAAGGTGCGCAGCATCCTGAACAAGCTGACGCCCCAGATGTTTAATCAGCTGATGAAGCAGGTGACAGACCTCACCATCGACACGGAGGAGCGGCTGAAAGGCGTTATCGACCTGGTCTTTGAGAAGGCCATCGACGAGCCCAGCTTCTCGGTCGCCTACGGCAACATGTGCCGCTGCCTCGCCACGGTGAGCCCTGCCTCTAGTCTCTGATGGTTGGCAGCTTGCTTCCCGTATAAAATCCATACACAGATGATACTGAGGAAGGTGCTGGTGCAGGGTGGGGGGGAGTGCTGTTGACCTCCAGTGACTCATCTGTGTCGGTTTTATAGGGCTTTTGCCACAATAAGAACTTGGTCAAGCATTTTATGTGACCACAGACCTCTAGAGACCTCAACCGTCACCAGTGCAGACTGCAGAGCAGTTGGTGGGTAATGAACTGAACTTATAACATGAAGGTTCCTGGGTCAAGTCCCTGAAGTGCTGTACTGAATGCCCTTAAGTTCTGCAGTTTTTCTAGTGAAATTTTCAGCTGTAAAACAGGCTGGATAAATTTTAAAGGTGGGGAAAAAAAACATGGACCCTGATGCCCATCCTGAATCTCTGCAGCTCAAAGTGCCGATGGCTGACAAGCCCAACAACAGCGTGAATTTCCGTAAGCTCCTGCTCAACCGCTGCCAGAAGGAGTTCGAGAAGGACAAGGTGGACGACGACGTGTTCGAGCGGAAGCAGAAGGAGCTTGAGTCGTCTGCCTCAGTGAGTCTAAAGGCATCTTAAAGATGCCAGCCAATGATATTGCTGAAACCATCTCACATGACTCGAGCCTGGCAGCACTTCGTCCAATCAATCTGCTTCGGTTCCACCACACCCCTTTAGGAAGGCCTGGTTGTTCTTTGCTGTCTTTCCAATACTGCGCTGTCTAACAATTTCTACTTCTACATACCAACTCCCCCCCCGTTCCCCCAAAGGCCAGTGAGAGGGAGCGGCTGCAGGAGGAGCTGGAGGAGGCCAAGGACAAGGCCCGCCGGCGCTCCATCGGCAACATTAAGTTTATCGGGGAGCTCTTCAAGCTGAAGATGCTGACGGAAGCCATCATGCACGACTGCGTGGTCAAGCTGCTGAAGAACCACGACGAGGAGTCGCTGGAGTGTCTCTGCCGACTGCTCACGACCATCGGCAAGGACCTGGACTTCGAGAAGGCCAAGGTAGAGCGAGCCGCCGTCACAGAGCTCACACATGCACGGAGGAATGCATAAAGATGGCCTGTAATTAGTGCACATAAACAAGGCAGTGGTCAGTGGTTATAAAAATAGGCACTATCCAGGCGACGTGAAATGCAGGAGCCCGCGTGAGGGAGAGAGGCTCAGTCAGGAGCTCTTGGCCGAACATCCTGAAGGACAAAGGTAGCCTTGATCGGGCCACTCTCTGGGAAGCAGAGGCGACGTGGGCAGCCCCGGGGGATGCTCCGTCTCTGTGCCGAGCGCCGGCCGGACCAGCGGAAGGAGCAGGAACGTGAGGAGCTGAATGCTGAAAGGCTGCTGGCCGTGGGAGTGAGGGGATGGGCTGGGGGGGGGGGGGGTGCTGGCCTGGGACAGACTCCGGCTATGGGCTTAAGGTCTCGGTCTCTGCAGAGTGATACGTTATCGAGGTCTGGGTCTCTCATGTGCGTCTGGCTCTGTAAGGTTGATGTTTTAATGATTTTTTTTATAACGTTTTGTTGATACATAGTTACACATGCACTTTGTCTCATTTTATGCTGGATTTCCTGTGTTGTTCTATCAAGGTCATTTCCTTCTCTGCGCATCGGTGTTACTCAGTGATTTGCTTTGTCCAGTTGATGGATAGAATGCGTTTCCTGCAAGGGTTGCCATTTCACTTTCAGATGCTCTGTATCTGCACTTGTGAGTGTTCTGTCCTCGATCTGCAGTGCTGTCAGTTGCTCAAATGGGAGTAATACTCCTGAACTTAAGGCCTTCGCAGTAAAATCTTGTGCCTAATCTTTTAATATGATTATTGGTCCGATATGATCTGTGAAGTCTAATAGTGATTTTTGCGCGTTGTCCTTCATGTGAAGTCATGCTCCGATCTTGGCACTCCAGACCCTGTCGGGTTTACTGTGGTCACATCTCGACCTTTTCTCTCTCTCCCCTCC